GAGCGACAGTGTTATGCAAAAAATCCTAGTTCGCATTTTTGAAGAGTTTTACACAACCCAAATACCTAAATATCTTCAACTATAAATACGCAAACCCTATCATGAATTTTGGGTGGTTAATCTATTGGATCAGATGACATTCCATCTCTTCCACTCAAATCATGTTGTCCAGATATATTTGACACCATGGGACGTTTCTCCCAGGTTGTGTTCCAGGATTTGATGAGTTAGAATTGCTCCCGCTCATTTCTTCCAAAATGACCTTATTCTTAGACTAACGATCATTAATATGTTTATCCTCTAGGAAGGTTGTATTCATGCTAACAAAGATTTTCCTATCTAGTGGACTATAAAAATTATCCTTGGTATCTTTAGGGTATCGACAAACAAGCACATCTTTGACCTAGACTCTTAACTTTTTTGCATTTTCTTTCAGCATATGAGCTAGACCTCCAAATTTTGGATGCGATGCAAGCACGACTTGAATCCATTCCAAATTTCAATAGAGTCTTGGGAAACGACTTAGAAGGAACTAAATTAAGAATGTATGTTGTTGTTTCCAGTGCATTTCCCCAAAATGAAGTACGTGGAATTGCAAAACTCGTCATTGACCTAAACATGTCTAACTTTGTGGAAGTTCACTGTGTTGACGGTCTTTTAGGATTGAGGCTTTATGTGATGATTGTGGAGGTTGTGTTTTAGTGATAACAACAGCAGCAGTTACACTTTGGCAGTGCTGGGATCTGATAATCTTGGTTGAAAGTGGTAATTCCACGTGATGGTTTGGTTGTGGTTTTTTGTCATCCTGCTTTATTCATAGCTGTCATTTGTGGTGACGGCTATGGCTGTGGTGTGTATGAGTTGGTGTTCCGATGGGGAAAAGTGATAGAATCTTAGTTCTTTTTAATTTTTTTTCATTTTCACATTAATTTATTTGATTGATATTTCTTTCAAACTTGCTTGTGAGCTGTAAAGGAATGGAGCAGCTTGAATGGATGTGTTAAGTGGCAAAAGCTATGAAGGCTAACGTCCAGGGTGCTGGAAGTGATTCGACATGATAAAATTCATATTGATGGTTTAAACAAGCTGTACTGCCAATGATCCCAATACCCTGTCTGTATTCACAAGGAGGATAAATGCTACATGCTCTTAGGAGCTGCCAGTAGATGCAGGCAATCTGGAATCAGATTCTATATCAGTTCGAGTTGGAATTCTTTTGTGCGATTAGTGATAAAGGGGGTTTTCAGCTGCATTCAAGAGTGTCAGTTTAGTGACAAAGCTTGCTAGATTCTAATTCAATTTTACTCATCACTGAAGCTTCACATAGAGTGCCAAATATCGTTGGGGTATCTGATGCCAATTGACATAAACCTTTGTCTAAATCCAAGTTGTTTAATGCTTTTGAATTAATTTAGTACAAGAAGAGATTTTCTTTCAAAACAATACGATGTAGCGCAATATATTTGATTATTAAATTCACATCTTCCATCTTCTGCTAGATAGATTGAATTAAATGCATTTGATTTTCAATGTTAAGTCTCCACCATTTTTTGTTGGATGATTTCAGAACAAATATGTTTTAATATGTAGCATTGACGTAGTTTAATATTTCTTGGATGTTAACAAATAATTTTGTTCGCTGCTTGAAAGTTGGACAAGACATCTAAATCTCAATTCCTTTTTCATTTTGATAATTGATTCTATTGCTTTCTGTTTGGCTTCCATTTGCAATATTTTGTAGGATGAGAAGTATTGGCCACTGATGCCTCCATTGCCTTCATATGGATATGGTAGAGAACATCCTGGACCACGATTTGGAAGTTTAATTCACGGCCAAAACCTCAAGGATGTTGTAGTTACAGGTCAGCATTAAATTGGAGTTCATATGCTTCTTTTGGATGAAGCTGTTGCTTTGGACTCTTTTTTGTTTTGTTTCTTTCTATCAGTTCTGGGGGCGGGCGGGGCAGTGAGGGGGTGGTGCTGTTCCTTACTTGGGTCAGGAAGTGACCCATATATGTCAGTCATCGTTATTTGCGTGGCTTCAAAATTCTTTAGGCAAAGAGTGACCAGCGTTAAAAGCTGGTAAAAGAAAGGGGAAAATGTTCCACAATCCCTTTTGGAAATCAAATAGCCTTCAAGGTGTAATTTTAAATTTATAAACATATTTCCGTATTGGAACATATATATAGAATCTTTAATAACTATAAAACAGAGATAATTTTTTAATTTTACAACCCTTCTGGGAATCAAGGAACTTTGACCATGAGAATAAGTGTTTATTTTTGTTAGTTTCACTTTTTGTCAAAAAAACATGAATGATGATTTTAGTTACCTGTAATCTGGTTAAACGTCAATTATTTGAAATATCTTTTTGTCTTAGAATTATGAATTACATATATACAGACAAATCGGCTCTTATATGTTAAGATGTCATCTCCAGTTCTCCATGTCCATTCAACAGAACAATTATGGTTGTCATACAAATTGCCTCAATGACATCTCAATTCGCAGTTGATTCCGTCATACATATTGCTTACGAATGCTTTTGCTATTTCCCAAAGTGCAATTCATAAATTTACAGATTTCTGGTGATAAATACATCCTTTTGGTACTACCCAAGAATGCAGAAGCCATTTTAGATAGTGAAAATGTTAGTGTAAATGCATATTTTCCATTCATCTGAATACTTGTATGTATATTGATGACAGGATATAATGGCACCATTGATGGACAGGGACAAACATGGTGGAAGAAGTATAGGCAGAAGCTTCTTAACAACACAAGAGGACCACTTGTGCAGATTATGTGGTCTACTGATATTCTGATATCTAATATAACATTGCGTGACTCTCCCTTTTGGACGCTTCATCCCTATGACTGCAAAAATGTCACAATCAGAAACGTAACAATCTTGGCACCCATTTTTGAAGCTCCAAATACTGATGGCATAGACCCTGGTAAGTCTGTTCTGTGGCTTTGTCTTGCACGGCATTAGGGATGGACGAGAACCAGTGTTGAAGTATAAGCTGATTAGATTTTCTAATAGCTAATATATCTATTATTATTATTATTATTATTATTAAATATCACATCTAGTGAGAATCATTTTTTGGACGATTTTAACCCTATTATAATTCAATTATTTCAATAATACCTTACTTTTTGTTTTTAATATGTAATAAATACTACAAAATCCTTGTCATGTACGAATTTTGCATAATCAATTCTTAATTAATTAACAATCATATTAATCTAAACTCAATAAACCTTGACTTGATGAAATCTTTTTCTACATGAATCTAGAGTTATTATAAAAATATAGTTATTTCTATTCATGTACTAGAAATTTTAATGGATATCAGAATTCATGTATTAACATATCACATCTTTTGCCATGGAATCTCATTATCACTTATCAGGATGCTTTATTAATTATTGGAGTTTGATACCCCTATGGAAGGGGATTGAATAGTTTCAACTTAAATTTACGATCTCAATGCATTTGTTATGCAATTGAAGGAACTCAACATCTGATTGCTCTTGACCTCGTGATATGATGAACTTCTGTATCTACATGGATTTACTTTATTTCTGTCAATTATCTTTTATGAGCTCTTATTAATGAATTTAGGCTATACAGATTCATGTGAAGATATGGTAATTGAGAACTGTTACATAAGTGTGGGAGATGATGGCATTGCAATAAAGAGTGGTTGGGATCAATATGGGATTGCCTATGCACGGCCTTCAACGAACATACGCATTCGAAACCTTGTTGTTCGCACCATGGTGAGGTGAGATGTCACAATGTACTATCTCTGTAACAACCACGGACCTCCCCAATCTTGCGTGTAACACAAGATGTTCATTTGCAGATATCACTCATTTATATTGTCCGCTAGAGTTTGGGCCCCAACCTGGCTTAATTTCAACCCCCAAGCGATTTGAACCTCCCCTTAAGGGAGACTTGAGTGCCAGGTCTCTTAAGGGGAAGGTGGGGACGTGAAATAAATTCAAGTTGGGCCCAACCTCCAGTGGACAGTACGGATGAGTAATGTCAGTACGTAAATAGCCCTGGAGCCAAGCAAATGAAAAAGAGGTCAAGATAAGGAAATCCATGGTCGTTATAATCTCCATCTGAAATTAATAGAGTTCATGGACTCGATTTTCCTATGCAAAATTTTATTGAGATGTATGCCTTGAGATTGTAATTTACTGAACGACAGTGCCGGCGTATCAATAGGCAGTGAGATGTCTGGTGGGGTGTCGAATGTCACTGTGGAAAATGTCCATGTATGGAATTCAAGGCGTGCTATTCGGATCAAGACAGCCCCTGGAAGAGGAGGATACGTTCGACATATAACATATCAGAACGTGACACTTGATAATGTTCGTGTGGGAATTATCGTTAAGACAGATTACAATGAATATGCAGATGACGAGTATGACCGCAATGCTATTCCAATACTAGAGGACATAAGCTACACGTCGATACACGGTGAGGGAGTTCGTGTGCCAGTTCGTATTCATGACAGTGATGAAATTCCTGTAAGAAACATCACGTTCCGTGATATTTCCATAGGAATAACACATAAGAAGCAGCACATATTCCAGTGTTCTTATGTTCAAGGTCGTGTTATAGGGAATATTTTTCCTGCTCCTTGTGAAAACCTCGACCTATACGATGAGCAAGGCCAATTGATCAAACGATCTGTTTCTCAAAATATGTCAGTTATAGATTATGATTTTTGAAAGAATTCTACATTTTTCAGTTTTTTCAGTTGTCAATATGTTCTCGTATGTTTCGTAAAAGTTCCAGTAGAACTGGGCAACATGCTTGGATCAATCAATCCGATTGCCAAGTTAACGTTTTAGTAGTTCGTTACACCATTTCGCCTCTGTAATTTTCACTTTTATCATGCCTTGTATATGTAATAAATATTCAGTTGACACATTCAGGACCTCTTATATTCTTCATCTCTTGATTGGATTCAATTTTTTGGAGCTATCTGTGCAAAGTCATCCACAAGTTAGGTTTTCCAGTTCACAAGAAAGAAAGAAATGCCCTAAATTTGTTCATAATGTGACAGGACAGGTGCGACGTGTCTGCATATTCTTTGGGAGGACAAGGACATGTAACCATGTCTCATACAGCCGTACCGCCGAAGTTAAGGTATCTCATCATCTTGTAATTATGGGCATTCATATTTGGAAATTTAGAGCCTGTTTAGAATGGATTTTTTACCCCAAAAAATTGATTTTCTTACTGTTATTTCACTATTTTAGTCGTAATTTTTGACTTCTTCTCTCACAGGTGGACTCCACTTTTCTTCCAACGATCAAAAAATCAATTCTCAAACTCTCTCCCAAACGGGACCTTAATTACTTCTAAACTAAATGATTTATGCGACAGGCTATCAAAATGCTTTTTATCTTCGGAAACCTAGGGTAAAATGATATTTTATTTGGTCAAGTTGTAGGCAAGCTCATCAGAACTTTTTTCTAAAATGATTTTTTTTTTGGTCAAAAAAAAAAAAAAAAAAAAAAAAAAAAAGGAAGGAGAGAGAGAGAAAGAGCACTAGCCAAATCAGAAAATAAGTTTTTTGGCTTTTAGGACATCACTACATTGACACTAAAGCCATTTTTGACACGAGTTACTTGATTGAGTGATAGAAGCTAAGCAATATTAATTTCTTTCGGGGGCAGCCTTTGTTGAAAAATATCTTGTATAAAAATGTCATTGCGAGATTGTGAATTACAAATCATTTCCTCTCAAACCTTTTAAGTCGTCATAGAAGAAAAATAGTTTATTTATATTTAATATTTAGTGTAGCTTCTCATATACATATGGAAATTATTTCTACACCATGGAATTTTATAAATGAGTAAATAAAAGAGTGAAGTTACGATGATTTCTGATTTCATTTTAATTCCTCATTAAATGTGATAAGTCAAACGGCCACAAATTTTGCTATTATAGAGAGAGTCCCCTTTGAAAACTTCTTGAATTGATGCTAATGGGTAGACAGCCTTCTAAGTTGCTTGGGATTAACAAGTCGGAATAAAATATATAGTTGGGTGACAAATATGTCTAGAATTGAAGTTCAGTGAAAAACACGTAACAAATTTTAAGTTGGATGTGAATTTCGTACAAATTAAAATTCAGTGACTAAATTTGACTTGAAAGTGCGGATACTTAGTTGAATTATTTTTATTCATATTAGGAACAAAAAGTAAAATACGAATTTAGTACATGGTGGACGATCAAATCTTCAATCGATGAAAAGAAAAGTCATAGTTTAACTGCTTAGAGGATACAATATTAATCTTGATATCTTGTCATACTCATCATCGTACGTCGTGCCTTGTATAATTTTTTATAAGATCTTGATCAAATTCAAAGTCACAGTGCACCAATTCTCGTCTGTAGCCCCAGTTTTGAAAGAAGAATTAAATTAATGGACAACTGCATTAGAAGCCAAAGGGGTCTGAAAGAGATAATATTCAGACGAATGGGAAGAACATCTCCATCCATTCCTCTCATATAAATATAGTAGACGTCCCTCAAAAACAAGGTCACATGACACGACCACCTAGAGGGAAAAATTTTGCATTGCAGATTCGAATATTGTTAGGTTTTATGTAATTAGCAATTCTATAAACAAAATGATTGAAATAAATGTTGTAAAAAGTCAAGGAACTAGTTGCAATATTGTATATCTGAGTTAGGTAGGTTAGGGTTCGAGTTCGGAATAAAGAAATAAGAAACGTTGCAATTCGCTAGCCTATTGCCTGGGCATTGCTCGAGCGACAAAAATAAAAACATCGTCACTCTTGTGTCACCCATCTCGCTCAATCGCTCGCCAGTCGCTAGCTCCTCACTTGACCAACAGTGTAACGCGAAAAATCCTAGTTCACATTTTTGAAGAGTTTTACACAGCTCAAACTATCTAAACACCTTCAACTATAAATACCCAAGCCCTAGCATGAATTTTGGGTGATTGTTCATTGTGCCTCTTCTCTATAACACATTCATAAAATTCGTTGAAGATCCAAGAGCTTGTTTATGTATTGATTCAATCAACTTACTATTAAGATTATACAACCACATATTGGGGATAAAACATCGAATCCATTGAATCCAAAACACCGACTTCGTAAACACCGTTAGAAAGTTACTTTCTCAATTGAACGTCTAAAGCTGTTGGATATTGAGAGAGGTTGGACTACAATTTCAAGACGATTACAAAAAATGGAGATTCTTGGAGTTCTACGTGGAAAAGACAATTGCAGAAGATCGGGAAGTTGGTAAAGTTAGCAGATCTTGAAGAGTACAATAAGTCTAGTGGAGTTGGCTAGGTAGCATCTGACTGTAAATCCATATTATCCATAGTGAAGGTAATTGGCTTGGTCCAAGAGTTTTTACCCAGTTGGGTTTCCCTGTTAACAATACTGGTGTTGTTTATTACTTTGATTATTGGTTGTGACATTCAAATATAGGACAAACCTAATTTGTATATTTAACCATCTAAAAACTATTAAAAATTGACTTGTTACTTTTAATATAGTAATTCCGCACATAAGGTCAAACTAATCTATAATCTAGAACATTCTAGTAGTATCCAAAGATTATCAAGTGGTATCTAGAGCTTTTCAAGTGGCATCAGAGTCTAACTTCGTATCGTGACCTTAATTTATCTAGATGAGTAGTTCATTGATTGTCCCACCATATTTTGATGGCAACAAATACGCCTATTAGAAGGTTAGAATGAGAGTTTTTTTAAAATCAATGGACAAGCGTATATGGTTAATTGTTGTAAATGGTTGGGTTTCCCCTTCTAGCACCATTAATAATGTTGTCACTCTCATGCCTGTAGAAAAATGGTCAAAGGTTAACATAGATGAATGTAATTGGAACAATAAAGCTTTGCATGCTTTGTTTATGACCGTGTCATATAAGGAATTTAGGAGAATGTCCATATGTGAGGTAGCTAAAAAGGTTTGAGATATCTTACAAACTACACATGAGGGAACACGGGCTATGAAAAATTCTAAGTTGCAGATGTTGATCACTAGGTTTGAAGAGATCGTGATAAATTTGACGAATTGTATGCGAGCCTAAATGACCTAGTTAAGTCCAACTTCAACTAGGTAAGAGAATCATGCAGTCTAAGATAGTCAGAAAAATCCTTAGATCCTTATCTGAGGGGTTTTGGACTAAAATCACTACTATTGAGAAGAGTAATGATATAGACTCGATTAAGGTGGAAAAGCTAGTTGAATCTCTCCAAACTTATGAACTGACCTTAGTGAAACTTGCAAATGATAAGTCTTAGCCTTAAATGATGTGAGGAATAGTTGTAGAGAGTCTTCAGATTCAGATTCTCCTAATGAAGCGAAGTTAGCATTCTTTGTTAAAAAATTCAGAAAAATGTTTAGGGATAAAAAGAAACCTCAAGAGAAGAATAAGAGTGGCCCTAATGAGTCTAGAAAGAGTTCTAATTCTACAAAATGTCATAATTGTCGAGGTTTTAGCCATATTCGGAGTAAGTGCCCAAGCAGTAGGAAAAATCCTGATAAAGCTATGAATGTTACTTTCACTGATGACGAGTCTCGCTCGGACAATCAGAGTGAGAAATCTACTTGCGAGGAAAGTGAAAAATACATTGCATTCACTACTGGGATTAGGAGTGAATCTAACAAAGGGAGCAACAAGGCTGAGAACATAGATAGTGGTAAGGAATAAGAGGAATGTTCAGATAGTGAGAGAGATATTAATGAGATTATTAAAGAATCTATGAGGAAAACATTAAGATTCTAACTACGAATAAAGCCTTAGATAAGAAGGTTAAGGAACTTGAGTTGGAGAAAGAGAAATTGTTAACTTACCTTCAAGAATCTACCTCAACCCTAAGTGAGTTGAGATTCATGAATGAATTCTTGGATACTTAGGTTAAGAATCTCACAAGCGAGCTTGAGAAGATCTCTAGGAGAGCTAGTGAACCGACCATTGAAAAGAAAACCTTAGAAATCTAGTTTAAAAATCTTCTGAGCGAACTAGAGTATTCGAAGTCTCAACTTCTAACATTTTCTAATAGTTCTATGAAGCTAGATAACATCTTTGTAATGGGCAAACTTGTTGGCAATAAAGGAGGTCTAGGATATAAGGAGAAAGATCGTAATATTGTTAGTACGTCCAAAACCACATTTGTCCTTGCTACTTGCCAGTCTAATCATGTTCTTAACCCCCAACATAAGAATAAGGGATTTGAAAGACAAAGGCCTACTAGACAGTGTAGGACTCACCAACTTAGGAAGAGAAAGTAGCAATCTCATAACTTTGGTCATAGGTTTATCCCTACATGTTTTCATTATGGTGAGAAAGGACACATAAGGCCTATGTGTTGTCAATTCCTAAACAGAAATTGAAATTGGAACTTCAATAAAAATAAGAATCAAGATCATGTTGGTCAGCTTGACTTCCTTACTAGTCAGTGAGTCAATTGACCAAGCTAATGACACAGATGACTGAAAATATTCCTATCACTAGACAGGTTTGAATGAAGAAATGTGATCTGAAAAATCTTTAGATAGATTATGGTGCTCTTAAAGGTAAGAGTGTTTGTATATCTAACTGATTGATATTTCTGGTGCATGCTTGTACTTAATCAGTTGTGTCATTGATTTATGCATGCATCACATTTGTTTAGTTGCTTTCTACATAGTTTCATGCATGTGCACCTTCATTATATTTGCATTAACATATACATATTTTTTTTTGTGTCATTTTTTTTTTTTTGGTGCCTGGAGCATTCATGTTTAAAAATAGAAACAACAAAAAAAATGGAAAAAATTGAAAAACGCAAAAAAATTGGAGAAGGGAACTTGTTCTTGCAGTATGATATATAATCTACTTGAATGTTTTTGTTTTGATCAAATATGGGTATAATTGATAAGCTGTAGCATAGCTTTCATAGATTGTTTAGATATTATGGAATACATAATACAGGTATCTTCATGTACCTTCTGCACTGCACACACTATGATATTGTTAGTGGGACTCAACCGCGTGTGTGAGATTTGGAATGGCGATCACATGTTAGTAAGGTAACTTTGGACATGAATTGATTAAATTTATTAGACCTAAACTCAAGTATATCCCCCGATTATATAAAAAGATCAATATCTTATATTTTTCTTCGGAGACTATTTGATTCGAGCAATAAAGCCTGCAGGTGTCTCAAAATCTGGTGTCTGTGGTCAACTAATTTTAGTTAACCTGCCTAAAGCTCGCTTCAGAGGCCATCTTAGTTATTTAATGGAGAAGGACCATGACTTAAGATGTAAAAAATATGATAAAGTTTAAAAATATTGAAAAATGTGAAAAATATATAAATGCTCAAAGTCGGGAGGAGAAAAGAAAAGAAAAATGTCCATACGAAATGAGCTTTTATTTAAAGGTCCTAATATGCTTTAAATGGTTTGACTTTCATAAGTAGAAGGATAAACTTATTGGCAGTGATATTTAGTATGTCATTTCTCACAAAATTAAGGTTTGGAGTCCTACTTACAAATGATTAGTAACGCTTTACACACATAGGTTTTGTACAACTTACTCCAAGTTAACTTGAACTGAGTATGTGGCCAGATTTATTGGTCATCGATTATGCTTGTACATGCCATCAATTACATATTTTGAGTTATTATATATTAATGCTAATATATAATATTATATAGTTAAGTTAAATGGGTTAAGTTCAAGTTTGGATTAAAGAAAGAAGGGACGTCGTAATTTCGGTAGCATGGACATTGCCAGAAAAACAAAAACAGATATAGCGTTGCTCGCTTGCCGCCCGTTTGTCGCTCAAGTGACAAACCCATTGCTTGCCTATCGCTAGTTACTCGCTGGAGCGACAGTGTTACGCGAAAAATCCTACTACGCATTTTTGGAGAGTTTTACACGGTCCAAATACCTAAATACCTTCACTATAAATACCCAACCCCTAGCATGAATTTTGGATGGTTGTTCATTGTGCCTCTTCTCTATAACACATTCGTAACATTCTTTGAAGATCCAAGAGCTTGTTCATGTATTCAATGCACTTACTCTTGAGATTATACAACCACGGTTGGGGGAAAAAAACATCGAATCCATTGAATCCAAAACACCTAATTCCTAAACACCAATAGTTAGGTACATTCTCAATTGAACTTCAAAGGCTGCTGGAGATTGAGAGAGGTTGGACTACAAGTGTAGGAAGATTATAAGAATTGGAGATTCTTGTATGTTTAACCATCTAAAAATTATTAAAAAATAACTTATTGCTTTTAATAGAGGAATTTTGCACGTAAGGTCAAACTAATCTATAATCTAAAACATTATAGCAGTATCCAAAGATTGTCAAGTGGTATCTAGAGCTTTTTAGATATGATTAATTAATTTCATTAATAAAAGGAGCAAGTTATCGAATAATGGAAGCACGTGAAGAAAAAGGGCCTTTAATGTCATGAATTAAATAATTAATTAATTTGCTAATATCATCTTAGCTTTGACTTGATAAAGTTTAGATTTAGGGACAACCAGCTGGATATCCACTACTTAATAGTCCTTGTTTGAACTACATTATTTTCATAAAAATGTATTTATGAATAGTGTAATGATTAAAAATGCGTGCTTAAAAATAAAAATTGGATTTGCATGTAATATTATTTTATTGAAAAATGTGATTAAAATGATGTCAAATCACTGTTTAAAAATATAATTTTTTTCCAAATAATGTAGATCAAACAGGGCCTATATACCTTTTTTTTTCTCTTAAATCGTCTTTTAACTTCGACAAATTACATTTTTTCTCCTTTCAACAAATGTTTACAACTTAATAATATTCTTCAAAATTAATTTAATTGTTTAAAGAAAAAAGAATGAAATTAGTGAATACATTGACTAGAAAAAGGAACAAAAACTTTAAATATAATTGAATTATAATTTTATTATATTTTATTGGTATTATAGTAAAAGGAATTTAATTTTGTTGAATTAATAAATGTGCATGAATATAGAAAAATAAAGAATTAAATAAAGGAAAAATAAACAAAATAAAAAAGAGATTGCGAAGGGACCAATATTATCTCTTGTAGTTTTATGAAATGAGAGAAGGGGTAAAAGTGATGCAATAATAATAATTTGTATTTGACTGACACACGTCTTATGGAAAACCAACTTCGAGGAAGTTTGAGTAATTTTAGAAAGCGAGAGGTGTCTGCATAATCAAATAATTTAAAAGAGTTTTTCCATATATATAGAATTTATTTCATATAAAGTATAAAGAAATCTCACATGAATGTAAATCCTATATGAATAAAAAAGTGTCAAAAAAATCCACCCCGTCACACACTACCCCCTGCTGTGAGTGGATTGGTCTGTATGGATTCCGTAAAATCAGACTGTACGTTTAGCATCTCTCAATTTAAAAAGATTACTCTCTCGTTTTTATTTTTATTTTAAAATAATCGACACAAAATTTCAAAAAGGAAGTTAAATGCACTACGGCAAAGTAAAGTGGCAAATGACAGGGACATCCTCATAATTACTGTGCGACGATTTTGTGGACGCGTACAACACGTGTTTGAATAGAATACTGAATGATAATCATATAAAAATAATCTTAACAATTTCGGTATCTTACAAATTTAGCTCTCAAAATTCATGGTGTTACAATGTTGGTCACTATTCTCAATTCAAAATGAGACAAGTTGCTACATTGATTTTACTAAATTGAAATCCAAAACCCATTTCCTAAATAAGAAACTATAAATCCAAGTTCTAGCGGACTATTTGTCGTTGATTTATACCATCTAACAATCTAGTCATCTATATTTACGTTGCATTAGTTTGTAATGATAGAATTGAGAAAAGAAAGCAATAGTATAGAAAAATTAAAATCGAATATTAGATTCTTAACAAAATAAAGTTTAGAGCTCTTAACTACCAAGCGCACAAACAATACATTATCCTATAAGCCCCTCGGTGCATAGCCAAGTGGTGCAAAGAATAGGAGTGAGGTTATTTCACGCCTTACTGGTAGCCGCAGTGTGAAAGTTCTATTCCTAAAACATGGAATTAGATTCCTTGTAAGCGTAGTGTACAGACAGCTCTTGTTCCCTTATATGTTGGGACACATTCTTTGATTTACCTCCCTTACTAAACTCTAAGGATAGAACGGTGGAGGCTCTCAAGATTGGGGTTCAAATTTTAATACATTACCCTATAATGACTATTACAAAAATAAAATGAGTCAAGGTCTGCGCGAATACAAGTCCAATTCTTAAAAGCCCACATATTCCTCGTGCCTTTTCTTTTCCTCAAAAACCATAATTCCTTTATAAATTATGTAAGTCTTCATTCATAGCATAAACTGAAAGCAAATGCTTTTTTAAGTTCTGTAACCATTGATATTTTTTATCAGTATTTGATTTAAAATGGGTTCGTCGGAAAATGTTGATTCCGGTAATTTTTCCGTGAAGAGATCAAACTTCTCGCAAACATGCAGTCGGTTGAGTCAGTACTTGAAAGAGAACGGTAGCTTTGGGGACCTCAACCTTGGCTTCACTCAGAATTTTGAATCAAAAAGTATTTTCCTCATTTTGTTTTAATTTCTTTCCCCTTTTCGGTTTACTTTTAGAGTTGGTTTCTTAGATCCGTTTTTCGTCCTTAGCTAAAGTTCACTTAATTCCGCAGGAACTGCTCCGACCGGGACAATGAATTTGCTGCCGATGATTGAGAAATCGGGTCAAAACTCGGGTGCTGATCTTAACATGCCGGTGGAGAAATCTGAGCAAGAAACGGCACAGATGACAATATTTTATGCCGGTGAAGTGATAGTTTTTGATGATTTTCCGGCAGACAAAGCCAAGGAAATGATGATATTAGCAAGCAATTCAAGTGCCCAAAACCACTCCACCACCGCCTTCCCTCCGCCACTGCCAACGCCTCCGCCGTCTAATATGGTCCAAAGTCCAGCTGAATCCGCCACCAACATTGTACCCACTCCGGCGGCGCCGCCTCTTGCTTCAGGTAAACCCCAGTGAGAAAAAATCGATTTTTTTTTTTTTTTCATTTTTTGAATTTTGGGTGAGTTAAATCTTATACATATAATTTGTTTTTTTTTCCAGATTTGCCAATTGCAAGGAAAAATTCAATATCCCGGTTCTTGGAGAAACGAAAAGAAAGGTAGCAATTCAGAATAATAAAAAATCATAGCCATGTTGTCAATTTTATATTTTTTTTCTCTCTCGACGGAATTTAATTGAGGCAATTGTGTTATTACAGGTCCATAGCAAAAGCACCGTACCAAGCAACGGAGCCATCGAAGCCGGCTAAAGGCGAGCCATGGCTGGGATTGGGTCATCGATTCCCTCATTAGTTATATATGTTTTTGGTTTAATTAATTGATTTGTAGCATTAGCAAAGCTTACCGTCTTGATAGATTTTGATCACAAGTCAATTTGGTTTTGTTCTTACATTGATCAGTTTTTATTTAAATAATTAATCATGTAATTAAATTAGAGAGAATATAATGTGGTTGTAATTTGAGTTTTTGACGATATCAATTCTCCTTTGTTATTCTCCCAATTTTGTTATGGTTTTCTCATCATGAATCTCTATTGCATCTGGATATTATTTTCATTTCCAATCGTCTATCAAAATTTTGGAGATCATCACGTCCCAATGTGATATTATTATCCCTCCCTTTGGAAGAATTAGTAAACAGATTAATTTATAAATAAATAAATGAAAATGATAAATAAGTGAATAGTAATTATCATTTTATTATAATGTATGGTTAAAAATAAAGTTTAATCATTTATAAATTATTTTATTTATTCGAACAAATAGGCTTATACTTAAATACTTGTACAATGTTAATTGAAAACGTTTGATGTGACGAAATTCGGAAAGTTGATATAAAAAAAAACAATTTTGAAATTTTTTGAAATTGATGAATATGATGATATTAAATCATCATCGTCAACAAACATTGTCAACTATCATCGTACTTGTAGCATCTCTCAATTGTTTGTTTTAAAAAAAAAAAGTGCTAGATGAGGTTGAGATCTCCTCCCATGCTCCTCCGTCACCATGGAGGGAAATGCGACGACTCGATGTGAATTAAGTAATATTTTCTCGATCTTGTAATAATTTCTTTTCCATTTTTATTCTCTTTGAAACTCTAGTTGGATGTGGATATTATTATTCATTTTCTATTATCTATCACAATTTCGGGGATTATCACACGGCAATAGGACACTATTAAAATAGGAGTCAAGTTTATTTCCTAAATAGCTTATCGATCTTCAAGAGATATTGCCTCAAAATTTGCATTCAACCTCAAAGAAGGACAAATGAGCTTGACAAAGATAGATAACTCAATGTGATTCACTTAAGCGATCTCAAGAGTGAGAACCCTTGAGCGAGCATGGCAAAAAGGACACGATCATCACATTGAATATATGAGTTTCGAGAATATGAGTTGTCTTTGTACATAACGTAAAGGAGGGCACAACAATATTAAAGAAAAAATAGGGAAAGGAGAAGAAATATTCTTCCCCGCATTCACTGTTTGAGTCGTGGTCCCGGTCGATTGGAATTTTCTTAAAGTAAAAGCTTTATTTCAAAGCTAACCACTATTGAGACCAGATATTTTAGTGGTGTTCATACAATTGAAAGGAAGGATTTCTTTGACAACAATTAACGCGGTTTTGAAAATTATGACACGGCAATGGCTTTATTTTGCAGAAATAAACGTGAATAAAAGAGAAGAATGTCCTGTAGGGGATGGATACATTTTTCTACTCCACATGCTTATCTATACATGACTAGTAAAATAAATGTAAAATATATTGGCTTATTTTCAACTTCACGAGCTCCACAAGTCCTAATGGCGTGTTTGTAAACTTAAATAAAATTTTATATCAACTCATATTTTCTTATAATGATTTTTAAAGTTACATTTCGTTATATAGTTATTCACTATTTATGCAACATTCACTTTAGATCCAATGTGATCTCATTAAACCTTGACATCGACTAATGATTGTTCTATTCATATCATGAAATCACAAATCTTCAAAACAAAATGCAATTATAGAATGGAAAAACCTCACTTTTTACCATTATCGAATAGCGAAAAGGTTATGACAAAATCGTAATCCACAATGTGTAAGGTCACTATGTCGGGTATTTCATCGTTAATAAGACCAATGTAGTGATTTAAAATTTTGCTTGAGCATTAGTGACCTCTATGAAAATAGTTTGTTGTTTATGTACTCTATTGGTCAATAAAACTTTCGAATAACTGGCCTCTTCGACATGTGACATTCACATTAATAGAGATTGCTATATATATATATATATATAAACGAGGACTAACTAGTATTGTCACGTTCTTCACGACGTCGGCTGCATTGAATAGAAAGGACCATTTTTCGAACATTTATATTAAATTTATTTTATTATGTTTGAGCCCCTTTATTCAAAATTTTTGCCAATTTCATTTCTTCATTGTGGGTGCCACATTGAATGAATTGTCGGTTATTCCTAGACAAATACCATCCATGATTGACCATTGGAGAGTCGTGTTAGGTGCCCAAATCTGAATCCCCTGTTTACCCTTCAAATAAATGGTGGGTGGTTATTTAGAAGTTAAGGAGTAACACAGTTATTTTTGGAAATTAGGGTCGAAAAATGAGGATGTTTTTGACCTTTTGAATTTGTACATTTTTTGCAACAATTAAAAGGTCTGACACAGTTATGTCCACTTGCAATTTTTAAACAATTAATTTATACGGTTTAAAAATTAGAATAATGGGATCAAACAATTAATTTCTAGATGAGGTTAGAATGAGTCAATAGAGTACGAATCTAATGTATTTCTTAAATATCACAAATGTTCATGTATATACATGTACTTCGTTGTTTCCAATCATGCTATACTAACTTTTTGAATAACATCCTGAGTAACAAAAGCGTTACGTGACAAAATTTTATTGGACTGTTTAAAAAATAATTAATAGTGTCATCCAACCAATATTTTTCACATCCTCTGTTAATAAAGATGTCAAATTCATTTGACAACAAATCTTAATTCGTCATGTTTGTATACATGTATTGATGTACATAAAAAAAAAAAAACGATGCATATGATTTGTATCATAGTTGCTGATCTTAAATATTAGTACAAGTTTTGAACTTTTAGGCATTCTCGTTGAATTAAATAAAATTCATGTGATGTTGTAAATATAGTAAATTTTACAAATAACTTTTATACTCTTGCTAGTGGTGGCAATGCTTGACTCGGCCCTTAATCTCACGAGCTCAGCTCGCGCTATTGGCGAGCCTCGCTCGTGGCTTGTTGAATTTGGGGGAGCTCGACTCGACCCACGAGGTCGTGGTCCGAACCAAGCTTTGGCTCGTGGGCTCGTCCTTTTTTTTAAGAGTTTTACAAATAAATGAAATAATAGAAAACACTTTTAAAAAAAATAAAAAGTGTTAAAAAATACAAATAATTTAATGAAGACAATTTTTTATTTTTTTTATTTATATCATATTGTAATATAATATTTTTTATAAAATATAAAATATTTATATAATGAAGATGAATTATTTTTTGAAATACATTTACAAAAAATATATTTTTTTGATTTCTTTTTAAAGTACATAAAATGTAAACCCTCCTCCTTTATCCGAGTTTGGGATCCATTACATCAATTTTAAGTAGGCGAAATTAAAAATTGTACACGAACAACTTGTTGTAACGTATACAATTTTTTAAAGAAAATTAAATTTAACGATTAAAAAATAAAGAAATTTTGATTAATATCATTAAATTAAATATCACTTATTTGATGACATGCAATTTCAGCTTATTTATCTTGTAGTCGAAAATGAGCTTCTTGTCAATCCTTCACGTACATTAACGCTTCCAAAACATTTTCTTTCAATCGGCTCCTGATATCGATCAAAACCCTTTTACTTACACTAAAAGCAGACTCTGAAACAATAGTGCTAACCGGGGGTGTCAGCAAATCTTTCGCAATTGCAGAAACAATTGGCCAACGTTTTTCATACTTTCGTCAGAATTCAATTATTTCTTCTGAACTTTTTTTAATTGTTCTGTCTGTTGGCATATTATGATTGAAGTAATCAATTAATTCGATAGACATCGCATTTTGAGTTTAGGCCGATGTTTGATGAGATGCAAATGTGGACGACATGGCACTAGATGAACACATTGCAGTTGCATCATATCTAAATGTATTAATGCCTTGAAATAAATTCATTATTTCAGCATCATCCTCTTCAATTTCAACAGAGGGAGCAAGTGCAGAGAGTACCCGACTAACATTCGCACCCATTCTTTCCGCATATAAATCGTACATTCCACATAATGTTTATTCTAAATTCTTATAGGTGATAGGTGTATCAAGTATTAAAATTTTATTGATTTGATTAATTACGTATTTAGTTCCCAAAATATTATATCAGGGATCCATTGCGCATGCTAAAAAAAATAACATAGACAGTTCTTCCCAATATTTTCAAAACTTTAATTCCATAACAATTATAATTTCACTAAAAGCAATATCATTTTTATATTTATGGAATGTTCTTGTAATTATATAAAGGCGTTCAAGCACCATACAACTTATGAGATAATAAACACCGAATAAAATTTTTGTGATCTCATAAAAAGATGTCAAAAATCGTTTAACTTTCAAAACTAAAATCTAATCGGATTCATTTAACATATCATCATCATCACTTCTAACGTGTCTATTGTTATAAAAGTCAGTTATTAGATTTTCGAAACCTTCACATGACTTTAATAGCAAGTAAGTAAAGTTCCATCTATGGCCTACGTCACTAACAAATGTTTTAGCAGTCGTCACCCCTAATTCGGCACAAAAATCTTAAAATGCTTGTTTTCTACCAGGAGAGATCGTAATATATACTAATGCATTCCTAATCCTTTGAAATTCATCATTTATATGTTTTAAATCATCTTGCACAATTAAATTCAAGTTATGACATACACAACGAATATGAAATAAATACCCACCAAAATCAGGTTGAAGCGTTCTTCATAATTTATCGACGACTACCTTATTAACGCTAGCGTTATCAAAAGTAAAAGACTGAATTTTAGTCTCGCAATTATATTCTCTAACAATACTGATAATAGCATTAGATATATTATTAGCATTGTGAGGAAACTCAATAATTCTAAAAGCAACAATTTTCTTATGCATGCACTAAAGTAGGTCTATATAGTGTGAGGTTACAGCTATATATGCTCTTTTATTAACCCCTTCTCATATATCAGAAGTTAAAGATATAACACCCCGCTATTGTTGCAAATTCATAATTAATTGTTGTTTTGAATTATTGAAATATTGTATTGTATCAACACAAAGAGTGTTTCGACTTATCCCAAGGTACCTCGATTGCAGATATTTTTTCATGAACGAGACGAAGTGTTGGTTGTCTGCAATAGCCAGAGGCAACTCAGTGATCGCAACAAATTTCACTATTTCGGTTCGAGTATTGTCCTCCGAATACACCCACGTGAATAG